TTTTTTTTTTTTCCCTACATATAAATCTGCAGATATTTGTTTTAATATATTTTAAAGCCAAAAGAGAATTGTAAATAGATTTTTGTATATAGCCTCTACCACTCCTCTTTCAAGGAGTTGTATACTATGGTACAAACTTGTCCAATATAATCTGTTGAACACAAAATATTTCATACAACAGATATGTTAGATCGTCAACTGCAAGTTAAGTAAAAATAGGTCTTTTCTAAAAAATATATATCCAATTGGAATATAAAGGGCATTGAAATTTAATCACCCAGTTCTTGTTACACAGTGCACATTCTTTATGTCAGGGGAGAAAAGTGGATTGTAATTGAAATCTGTATTGCATTTTGGAAAATGTTATGCTAGGAAAGATGTTACTGGGACCGCTGAGTGAATTTTGTTTACTATAGTTCCACGTTTCATCTAGCAAATCATGTGAGAAGGGACAAGTATAAATGCACCTATTTATGTAGGTAATTTTTCTGTTTCATGCTTCTGATTCATCTTTCTGCTTTACTTTATAGGCAGACATGCTACATTGGTTACAATTAATTTTAGGGCTGCATATTAGCCATAAAGAGATATTTCACAAATTGACTTGATTTTTTTTTTTCTCTATGATTTTCATGAAAGATGAAAATGGATCCGAAGAGAAGCAACGTACAGAAGAAATGGAAGGGCAGAGCCAAGAAGCAGGTGGGCTCAGATTTCTTTTGAGGAATCTCCTAGACCTCATCCATAGAAGAGAACAATGACTTTACTCACTGCTATTGTCAGAAAATGCTTATATGTTTTCACCAGGTTAACTCAGGGTTCTATAGACTTTAGTGACTATGAACAGCAGTGCTTCAAATCCGAATGCAGATTCTCATGTCATATTTGCCATTTCCATTTTTGTCCTTTGTAATAACTATTTGCTTGGTAATGAATGCTCTAAGTGGGAAGGGGAGAAGGCTGAAAGTGCCAAGGCAGAGCTGGGCAGATTTACCTCAGGCCTAAATTGATTACTTCGGGAATGGATGAAATTTTTAAAAAAATGTTTATGAGAAACGAAGAAGAGGCTTTGTACCACAGTCAGTGGAGGTCCTTTCCTGTTTTCCATTGTATTCACTCTGAAGAATTGTGCTTCTGGTTAGTTGTTTACATGTTGTTGAAGGTGTCTCACTGAAGCTGTCTACCCTATACAGAGCTATAAATGAGACCCCAAACTGTCCTAACATTGTCTCTATCTAACCTTGTTCTGCATAGGACAGACATATCAGGTGAATGCTAGTAGATTCTACATCATAGATTATAAATATTTTTAAAGAAAATAGCACAGCTCAAAAGAGATTACCATTACTTTCAATTTATCATCTCCTCTGGCCAATTTTTTGTATTCAGGCATGCTCTTCTTTAAAAGAATAACAGGCATAACCATGTAGCTGTCAGCATAACCACAAACATAAAAACACACTTCTTCTCCTTAGTTTCCAAGTCACCCTCCCATTTCTAAGGAGGCCCATGAATGGCATGTTTGAAACAGTCAGGTCTATCAAATGTGTGGGAGTTCTGGTGGCATAGTGCCTAAGGCATCTGACTGCTAACCAGAAGGCGGGCGGTTCAACCCCACCAGCCACTCCTCGGAAGGAAGTTTGGGCAATCTATTTCTGTAGTGATACCACCTCAGAAAATATGTGCCAGGCACATCCTAGGCCATATGCTAAGCTCTTGGAATTCAACCAGGTAGTGTGTTAAGTTTTGCACTGAAAACTTCCTACATTAACCTTGGAACTTTTGCTAGGGATTTGGAAGATTTTATTATTAACCTGGAAGATGGAATTGAAGAAGGCCAATCAGAGAAAGCACTGAAGCAAGGCAGCAAAGACCTTGTGTACTTGTTACTGGGTCAGCTGGCTCCCTTGGCTGAAATGTGGTCCTTGCAGTGAAATGAGTTTCTCATACAGCAAATTATTGGTATCCACCTTGTTCCCCCTTGCTCTGCTCGATAGAAAATGAATCTTATGTGAAAAGCTGTCACTGTTTTTATTGTTTGGGACTGAAAAGTATTAGCCAACTAACTACTGACAGCTGATGCCATTCTCTGAATATTAGATTTCAACAGGTTTTATTCACTCCTTGCTCTATCCTAAACTGTCTTTATCAGCATGACTTTTTCTATCCCTGTCTTTACACACACACACACATATTTGCCTATGTTTAGTTTATTCATCTTTCCCCTTTAGTCAGTTGAGAGTAGGAAGGCTTTTTTTTTTAGGATTTGACATCAACATCTCATCTGTTAGCAACGGGTCATAAGAAATAAGCATTTTCTCTACCTCTTGAAGGCGTTCCGGTAGCATAGTGCCTAAGGCACTTGACTGCTAACCAGATTGCTGGCAGTTCAAATCCACCAGCCACTCCCTGGAAGGAAGGTTGGGCAATCTACTTCCATAGTGATACTGCCTCGGAAACCCAAGGAGGGGTCTCTATGGGTCGGGTTCAACTCCATGGCAATGGTTGCATTGGTTTGCATTGCTACCTCTTGAACCCAGTAGTAATGCCACTATAATATGGATACATCTCAATGTAAAGAAGAATTGCTGGGGGTAGGGTGCAAATGTTTAACATACTCAGCTGCTAACTGAAAGGTTGGAGGTTCAAGTTCACCCAGAGGTGCCTTGGAAAAAAGGTCTGGAGATCTACTTCCAAAAAATCACCATTGAACACTGGGTGAAGCACAGTTCTACTCTGAAACACATGGATTCACCATGAGTCAGAGTTGACTTGACTGCAGCTGCTTGCAATGTAAAGAAGTTTTAAATGCCTCCCTGAAGCTTTTTCTTGTTCTTCCATGTAAGTCAATGGGTTGATATGGAGTCCAGAGCAGGATTTCTCTAGGATCCTGGCCCATTTCCACATATGTTGTCATGTTCTGTTCAGTTCATAGCCTCCCTAATTTACGTGCAGAGAAATTGATGCCTTGGTCTGGTTATTAAAGCCCTTTTCACCTGCTACTACTTTTCTAAAGTAAAAATATATTCTTACTCAAAATAATTTCCAGCTTTAATTTTGATTATACAACTTTGCAAGCCTCTTCCACATCAGGAAAATGACACAATCTCAAAACAGTATCATCTACCAGTTTTGACTGCAGCTATGACCAAAGTAAATCAAAGTTATGGATGATATTTCTGAAATAGTAATTTAACAAATACTTATCAAGGGCTTACTATGTCCTGGAGACTGTTCTGAGCACTAGCAATATAACAGCAAACAACAATGACAGTGATCCTGCTTCCTTGGAGCTTATATTCTGCTGGGGGGATCCAAATGATAAACACATAAAAATATCCCATAGGGATATGGGCCCTGCTGAGAAATAAGGTGATGTAGAAGGAATACTCATAAGGATTCTGTGGTAGTTAAGGTTATGTGTCAACTTGGCTGGGCCTGGTTTTGAGTGGCTGAGCAGCTGGATGTTGTTTTTCCCCATGATGAGACTGGTCATCAACTCCATCGTGGAATCTACTGTAAGAAGCTGAGTAGTTGCAATAGGGGTGTAGTCAGCTTCCTATATAAGAAGCAACTTTGAGAAAGATCTTAAGATTTTTGGAGTATCTGGATCCTGCATTTATCTAAATCTTCATCTCAGTGACCTACCATGTTGTTTGCTGATCTTGAGACTGTTTCTGGACTTGAACTAGTGACCTGCCATGTTGCTTGATAGTTTTGGGCCTGTGTCATTTTACTTGTCGACCTTGGGTTTGTCAGTTTCAGCAGCCAGAAGCTGCCTGAGTTAAGAGAAGCTTCCAGCTTCAGTGGGTGGGGAGCAAGAGGCAGGGCTGAAGCACTAGGTCAAGGCGCTTTCACCCAGCTCCTAGAGCTGGCACCTTGAACTCAGACTTCTAGCCTTCTAAACTGTAAGGGAATAAATCCCTGCTTGTTCAAACCACCCATTTGTAGTGTTTCTGTTAGAGTCACACTAGAAAACCAATACAGAAATTGGTATGGAAAGAGTGGGGTGCATCTCTGACAGATACTTAAAATGTGGAAACAGGAGTGGAGTGCATCCTTAGACCTGAAATCCCTGTGCAGAGAGATTGCAGCAGCAGAGCCAAGAAATTGGTATGAGAGCAACAGGCTTATCAGCCCGCAAAGGAAAAAGCTGGATGCCATTGGGCAGGTGGCTTCCTGGCAGAGTGGGTTGCCTTTGGGCATTAATTGGTACAAGATACAGGTATGAGATTGAATAGCAGGTTTGTCAGCTCATGGAGCAGAAAGCTGAAAGGGTTTGGGCAGGAAGCTTCCTGGCAGAGAGGATTGGCTTCAGGCATTAACTGGCAGAAGCTGAGAGACCAAGGAAATGGGAAGCAGAGCTGCCTCAGCCTCAAAGGCTAGGACCATGGTCTCTGGGGGGAGAACCACCACAGCCTCCTAGGTTTCAGAGTCAGATTTTCACCAACTTGGTTCTAGACGGTAGGGCTGCCATTCATGACAGCCAGTGGGATGGGGTCATAGCTGCTGCCCCAAAGTGAGGAGGCAGGGCTGCCATTCCCAAGGACCAGAGGAACGGGGCCTGCCAGGCCACAGGGGTGAGATCACAACTCAGATAATCTAGGAGACTCAGGCCACCCAAAGAAAGAGACTTGTATAGGTGCCAAGTTGACAAGGGGTGGAATTGTGGTAGTTAAGGTTATATGTCAACTTGGCTGGGCCTAGTTTTGAGTAGCTGGGCAGCAGAATGTGTTTATTCCCTGTGATGAGACTGGTAATCAGCCACATGGTGGAATCTACTGTGAGGGGCTTAGTACCTGCCATATGGATGTGGTCTGTTTCCAGTATATAAGAAAAAGCTTTGAGAAAGGTCTTGAGCTTCTTGACACATCTGGATCCTGCATTTATCTGAGTTTGCATCTCACTGGCCTGCCATGTCTGACGATCTTGAGATTGTTTCTGGACTTAAACTAGTGGCCTGCCATGTTGCTTAATAAGCTTGGAATTGTGCCATCTGCCTTGTTGACTTTGAGTTTGTCAGACACAGCAGCCAGCAGCTGCCTGAGTTAAGAGAAGGCTTCAGCTTCAGTGTGCCAGAAGCAAGAGGCAAAGCTGATGCCCAAGGTAGAGGGGCCTTCACCAGCCCCTAGAGCTGGCATTTTGAACTGGGACTTCTAGCTTCCTAAAGTGTAAGAGAATAAATAATAAATAAATAAATAGATAAATCCCTTTTTGTTCAAGTCACCCACTTGTGATATTTTTGTTAGAGCAGCACTTGAGAACCAGAACAGAATTTGTCCATTGGATGGATTCAGGGGAGGCCTCCTGAAGAAGTGATAAATAAAATGAGATATGAATGATGAGATGACAGAAGACCATTCTAGATTAAGGGAACAGATAATGAAAATGTCTCAAGCCCCATTTGAGTTTTGCATTTTATAGAAAGAAAGTCAATGTTGCTATAGCATGGTAGACTAGAGGGAACATGATTTGAGATGTGGTCAGAGAATTTAGGACCAGATCATGTCTGGTTGTATAAGATTTGGTTTTATAATAGGTATAATAGTGAGTCAATGTGAAGTTTTAAGTAATGGAGTAGTATTATATTTGTTTTAATGAGTTCACTTTGCCTCTGTGTGAAAATGGATCAAAAAATACAAAACTAAAACCAATTAGAAGCAATTATAGTGGTTTCTGGAAATGAAGACAACAGGATTTGC